TTCATTGCAGACAAGTCTATTCCCCAGAGCAAAGCAGACGTGGAGCACCAGTTATTCCCAGGGCACAAATATAAGGAGCTGGGCCCCAGAAAGGCCAATGCAGGAAAGGCTCAACTAAAGGGGGCATACCAGGGGGATGGTTGCTTCTCCTACAGCAAAGGAGCCTTGCGGCAAAAGAAAAACAAAAAATATTTAGTTGGTGAAAGGAAGAGAAGTCCATCTTGGGAAAGGCCCGGGCATGCTTCCCTCCTGGTCCACTGTATGTGGGAATAAAGGGGAGGCATGTAGCAGGAAAGCCACTGCAAGTAGCACAAATGTCTAAGGGAAAAATAACAAAATGTTGCACTGCTCCTGTTAGTTTGGAGGAGACACAAATAACTAAAGCTTGATGAAATTTGCACAGTGGGTGCTGCTGTCGGCACCCTTTCGGCCAGCATCCCTCGATCAGCAGAATCTTTAAACTAACAGAGCTGGCAGCCAATGAGCTGCCAGCTCTGTTCAGGTATTCTGACAGCGGCCTGTGGCTGCCTTCAGAATAAAATGAAGACAGCGGGAGATTCCTCGATCAGCGTTCATAGGTTGGATAAGTCTGTTATATTTTCTTCATTGATCCTGCAGGTTGAACAAAGAAAGTATTGCAGTGTATAAGCAGCTTAAGGTGCCTGTGTAGCTCTACACTTTTGTAAATGCTGGTTGATGTGTTTTCTGTTTTGAGTGGGCGGAGCCGTTCACTCATATACTGTCCTAGAAGATGACTTGGGAATTAAAAGGAGAACTATGGGGGTCAGAGTTTTTCTCCATAGTTCTCCTTAGGGTAACGGGAGGACACAAACTAGCGTCCTCCCGTCACCCTAAGCTCAGTATACCGCAAGCTACAGCTCGCGGTATACTGAGACGCTGCAGCCGGAGCGGATCCCGACGTAGATGACGGGATCCGCCCAGCTGGCTCTGCCTATCTAGAGGCAGAGCCAGCTGTACCCGCCCCCTCCCCCGTCCGTTCCACCAGTCAGCGCTGGCAGATCGGTGCGGGGAGAGGGGAATCCAGCCCTCCAGGTGAGCGAACCTGGTATATGTTCGCTCACCTCCCGATCTACTGAGCCGACCTGTGACAGTCTCATTGTCACAGGTCGGCTAGAACTATGAGGTGAGTGGAAATCACTCATCTCATAGTTCTCCTTTAACTAAAAGCAGCATTACCGATTTATCAAGTCAGGTCTAGTTTCCTAAAACAGTACAGCAGGCACATATGGAAAAAATAAGTACACACACACACACACACACACACACGTAATACTTACCCAACTACTACGACAGGGGCAGATTTCTTCACATGGAAGGCTGCAAATACAAATAAAAATATATTGATGAGAACATACTTCACTGAAGAAGTCTAAGTATTTTTCATGTAGGCTTATTCAATAAGGCTGATTTGAGCAGGCAATTCAATTTTTCCAAAATTACTTAGAAAAGTGAACCTATCCTTTAATGCACATTGTGTGTGTGTGTTAGAGAGAGCTGCTGCCAGCCATATACAATATGGCACACAGTGGAATGGGGGCAGCACTGACGCAATGCCCTATGCATGTGTTTATTCGCATGCAGATGGCAAGATTGGTTTTAATTATTTTTTTATCACATTTTTAAATTTTTATTTTATCTTATTATCCTTTGCTTTATTTTTTATCATTTGTTTTGATTTTATTATTTTAATCACTTTATTGTAATTATTACTTTTTATACATTTTTGTTTTACTAAATTTATTTATTTTTTCACTTACTTACTTTACTTTATTATTTACTCACTTTACTTTATTGCCATCACACAGGAGCTAACAAACCTCTGTGTGATAGCATTTGGAGGTGACAGGTTCTCTTTATTGATTGTCCAATACAGACATTTGAGCACAGCACAGTGCTGACTCTCTTGTGACAGCGGAGATGGGAAGACTGCGAGTGAATGTCTCAGTGTTCACGCAAAGCAGAGCGGAGAACGAATGTTCTCCGCTCTGCTCCACCCTGAACTACTATGCCGTGGTCCAGGGTCCTCCAGATGGCGTGGAGGGAGGCGGCAGTCGGCAGGTAAAGAGGCAGTCGGCGGTGGGGGCTGGACAGCCCTGCAGGCGTATTACAAGTGGTCTTGGCGGCATCGCCAAGATCACTTGTACAAAACGAGTGGCGGCTTCCCCGCTCTACATTTAGCCCTACTTGCCCAAAGAAAACTACCTGCCTGGTGCCCGGAACTGCATGTTCTGGCCATCGGGCATTAGGAATGTCGCACCCCTGATTATGTATGTGAAAGCTCTAACATATCAAGGTCATGGTACATCTAGTAGCAGTAGTTGCAATCAACTGGACTTTTTCTGTAATGTTAAAGATGCTTGGCCATTCAGATGAGTGGTAGAATGCCATTACAGAACAACGCCAGTTGAAACTACTACTAATAGCCTTTTAATGATTATAAACTCCCCACATAAAATCCAATAACACTATTCAAACAGTTGTATCAATGTCTGGATTTCTACGTTTTCAGTAACCTTGACCAAAGCCCACAGGGTCAATGGAAACGTTATTGACACTGTCAATACAACCTGATCCATGGTCAAAAATAAAAATGGAACCCTTTTGGAGTAAAATGACTAATGAAGCTTTCCAATGTCTTACTACAGACTGTACAAGGTCAGAAATAATGGCTTAAAGTGGACCTTTTGACTACAAATCACATCAGCATACAGCTCTGCATGCTGATATGCAATCATCTTACATTCATTAAAAAAAACATATTTTTTGTTTTACTTACAATTTTTTTTGGCACAAAATTTCTCTTTGGCACACAAAGTAATCTGTGCCCAAGCGTTGCTTCCTGGGAAGGTTACATCAGCAGAGCATTGCTGGGAAATCTCATCTGTAATCTCATGAGATCTTATGGAAAGGTATTTTCCTCCCCTGGGATGATGAACATGGTCACATGTCCTAGTCGCATGTGCCAGAGTTCCAGGAAGTAAAGGGTGATCCAGTAACCTGCCCTAAGTTAAAATGGACACTGTGAAAAGACTGGGGAGGAAAATAGAAAACGGGTATTCAAAGAATACAAAGCCGGCAATTATCTTGAAGTATGTGTGTGTGTAGATTGTCATTACTGAACATTTCTAACAGTGTGTTTGTTGTTATTTTAAAGATATGAGTAAAGGTCCACTTTAAGTCAATGGAGGAAACCTGGATGATCCAAACATTCTCTAGAACTAGATTTAACATTGTGCAAGCCATCCATATAAATACAGGAAACCTAGAGCTAGGAACACCTTAGTTTGGCACTTGAAGAGCTCAAGGCAAATGTTTAATTAACCCTTGCAGTGGGGCTACCTCTGCCCTAAAAAGGTCAACTGCTCGTTTTTATCTAGGAACAACAATAATAAGGTTTATACTCACCCGCTTGCTCTTAGACCAGTCCTTGCAGTGTCTCTTCCACCCAGTCTAATGATCCTGGTGTTATTGCATTCTATACACTGTGTATAGACATGAGGACGCAGAGGGACATAGCATTGCTGCAGCATAGGAGGACAGAGACAGTGCTGTGACAGCGGGCTGGCTCGGGCGAGTATAAACTTTTTTTGTTTTTGCACCTAGACTAAAACAGCAGTTAACTCCTGCAGTGTGGAATGGCAGCCCCACTGCAAGGGTTAATCAAAAGAATGCCTGGAGTTCTTTTTTGAAGGGCCCCTGCACACTATGATTTGACATAGGATTTTACTAGTGGTCAGCGTCTAAATACAATCTTGTCTGTATGGCACGTTCTAACGTTTACAAGCCAACAAGTTTATGCTTTTAGGAGACAGGTGGCAATTGCGTGGCCTAGTGGTTTTCAGTTGCTTGGCTGTTTGGGGGGGGGGGGGGGTTTTGCCTCCTTTTTGCACGGGGTGAAACACACACAAAAAGTTACACACCAAAGAGCCAGCCAGCTCTTAGAATGGTCCCTGGAGCCTCTCTCTCCCTCTAAGGTCCCTGAGTGGTCACCTCCAAAAAAGTGTATAGGGTATGTAAGGACACCGAGGGGCATCGCTGCATGGTAGGAGGAGACAGGCAGGAGGGAGATCTGCCAGATCCAAAAATCAGGTAAGCAAGCATAGCTTTTTTTTTTACCCTAGACAAAAACGAGCAGTGCAGTGCTGGGATGGCCCCAATGCAAGGGTTAATGATATTTTTGCCCAGAGTTCTTCTTTCAAATACTCTAAGGAAGTAAAAAAACAAATATCCACCATGACCTTACAAACATTTTAACACCCATTTTAAAGAAATAAATGAAGGGCGAAATGCTAACAGGCCAGCCACCTCGGTGAAGGTGGTTTCATACCCCCTCAGTGACCCGGAGATCCATGGTAGAAGGCCTGGACCTTGGAGAGAATCATGTCCTTCACACTAACACCGAGTGACCCCCCCCCCGCTCCCCACTTCCTCTCCATGTATAAAAGATGACCCACCAGATAACAGAGCCGCCCTGGACAGCATGATGAAGCTTTCTCTGGACAGGAACACACACGAGACAAGCCTCCTCCAGCAGCACCGGTGCCCTCCGTGTCCCTGACAAGTCCCCAAGTGTCAAGATGGCGCTGGACACGCCTACTCATACGTCTGGCGGCGTCAAGGCTACCGGGCAGCCATGTTATGTAAGGGCAAGGACTGGCGGACGTCTTTTAGCAGGGCGTTTTATATGGCTCGGTTGACTTGTTAAAAACTAACAGGGGCATTCGTGTTCTAATAATATATACATTACACATGTTAATGCAGTGTGTGATTCAGACATGAGAGCTGCACAGCCCGGCGTTTCTTACAAGGGCTGCTCACTGACAAGGAGTGTGACAAAATTAGTTTTCTTTTACTAACTATTTGAGATGTAATCATTTTATTAGGTTTTTATAGCCCAGGTTACGGTGTTCCCATATCAAACATGGCGGTGTTGACACTTCCTCTCGGGGAGGGGGGTCTAAGAAGGGGAGGGGGGTCTAAGAAGGGGAGGGACTGGGCGAGCTGTGAATGACGGGAGGAAGCCGGGACACGTGCGGGAGAAATGAGTTCAGAGAGCCCCTGGAGTAGCCCAATGAGGGCCCCGGCTTGTATGGAGGTCCATTTGGGAGCAGTGAGGTACCGGCCAGGTGAGACGATGGAGGAGGAGAACCTGGGAAACCAAGGACGCAGGATTTATACAGACAAATAAAAGCACTTGGGGCCCATTCATGCCTTGGCGTCGCAAAAGCTTGTGTTTTTGCCTGCGTTAATATGTGTTGTGTTATAGTCTATTCCCACTACTTGAGTTGGGGTTGCGTTGGCTGTTTCCAGCGCAGCTCCAATGATATCATGGATGGGCACTACCGTAGTCACACCACCACAGCGCTGCAAAAAAAAATATGCCTTAGCTTTTTTTCAGTGCAACAGGATGTGACGTGAAACTACCTTCTCCCACCCTGCTGTAACCCATGGAACTGAAAAGTGCTGGGATCGGTGCATCAGCACTTTGTTGGGCACCTCATACCTGCTGCTGGTGTCAATGGGCTCTTGTGCCCATAAAGTGACATTAAAGTCAAAAACCTTTTTCCCTCCACCCAATGTTAATTAAAGCACTTACCTTAAATGACGTCTCTTAATCCGATCTTCTTTCCTGTCCTTTTAAACTGTCCCTCCAGCGCTGTGGCGGGTCTCCGTTCCAGCGCTGACTCCTCTGAGCTTGCTGGCACTTCCTGTCCCATCGTGTCTGCATGCGGGTGCACGCGTATATAGACTTACCTTGTGTCTCTCCTCGCATTCCGGACGAAAATGTGAACTGCGCAATGCGCCCGCCCCAAGATGCTTTGCGGCCGCCCGAGAATTTTCACATTTTTGGACGGGAGCGCACGGGGAAGGCACAGGTAAGTATTGACCCTTTTTAAAAGCTGTTTTTTTTTCTACACTTTTTGCATAGATCTACTGCTTGCTAGCAGTAGATCTATGGGAAAGAAAAACCAAACCCTTTAAGATATCCCATTCAAACTAACATGTCCCCCCAAAAAATCTGACATGCACCATTTTTTGCAACCACAATGCATTGTAGTGCGCTCATGTGCTTTTTTTTTTTTTTAAAGCTACAAGCGACACAGCGCTCACATGTGGATGGACATCATTGAAGAAAAAAAAAAAGGGGGATTTTGGACATGCTGGGGAGCGCTGACAACCTATTCAAATGGGCGGCTGTAACACAATACATGTTAATATGACATACCACATATACACACTGCACAATGATGCATAAATGGGCCTTTATTGTGCAGAGGTATTCATTTAAAATGAATGGCACCACAATGTAATGATGCATATAGTGTGTGTTACCATGAGCATTACTGCAGCAATATAGTGTGGACTGGTCCTAAAAGCCTGTACTATACATGCTTGGTCTGGATGGCCCAGCATGCATCTTTTGCTAATCACCCCCCATGCTAATTTAAGGATTACCTTAAATTATGCTTCTTAATCCGATCATCGTCTTCTTTCCAGGAGTTTTTAGCAGTCCCTCCAGCGCTGCTGCGGGTCTCCGATTCAACGCTGACTCCTCTGTCCTCCTCCTTCTCTGCTGTCCCACGGAGTATGTGTGGGTGCACGCTGCTCCATATACTTACCTTGTGTCTCTCCTCATCTCCCGGCCGAACATCTGAACAGCACATGCACCCACCCCAAGATCCTTTGCGGCCACCCAAGAAATGTTCGGACGGGAGTGCGCGGCAGAGACACAGGTAAGTATTAACCCTTTGAACGGTTTTTTTTTTTCTCGTTTTGCATATATCTACTGCTTGCTACCAGTAGTTATATGCAAAACGTGAGGGTTTAATAACACTTTAACTAGTAAAGTGGCCTGTAAGTCAAGCCATTTACTAAAATGTCATATCGGCTTTAACATATTATAGAAGTAGTCTTGGCTCGTATTTTTCACAGCTCGGTCACCTTTATTTCATGCTTCTGGGTGAAGTAGAGGTGAGATAGAGACGGTGACCTTGCGCCCTCTAATTCCCAACCACACTCTGCAAAGGAGACAACCTCTTGATTTACAGCACTTGTCTTTCTATCCCCGCACTTTCCTGAACAAGTGAGGTCACAGGAATGCAAGAGAAAGGGCACATTCTCCAACTTCCAGCGTGGACCTCTAAAGGTTCGGTTGGATGTTGAACCTTCAGAAGTCATACATCACTTGGAGTATCTGGGTTTTGTTTTAGACAAAACTGAAGCAAAAGTTTTTCTTCATCAAGAAAAGCTCTTGATACTTCGCTCGTATCCTCTAGAGTCCAGGAGCCGTTCAACTCTGCAGTTCTTTCTGGGCCGATAGTAGCCTACTTCGAGGTTGTTCCATTCAGACCTCTACATCCCAACATTCTGTCATTGTGGGACAAATCCGTTCTAGGCAAACTCAATCCTGTAACACTCAAAATACGGAGAGCTGAGTGATCATGAATCTCTCAGCTCTTCGGTGTGCTCTCCAAGTGAAGAGCAGTGGCTTTCGGTCGCAGTCCTGTCAGGGATTCCCCTCTCTGAATCTCCGACACTCACTGGAGGGGCAGCCAGGGGAGGGGGTGTTCATGGTTGGCTCTAGAGAGGCAGAGCCAGCTGTCACTTAGGCATCTGGGGTGGATCCCAGTTTTCCAGTGTAAATTCTTTCCATAGTTTGGAATATCAGGTATAAGACAGGTGTACAAAAAGTATGTAGTATTTGCAGACTGTTATAACATGGGTATGACATTTTTATACTTTTCTTTTGGCCGCAACCGGAGTTCTATTTTGTGATGGTCTCTTTTTGTGTGTTTCAACTGTTTTATAATATTTAATGACTGTATATTCATATTTTTTAGATGGGGCCCTGCTGATGTCAGCTTCTAGTCTCAACAGTCGAACTTGGGGAGGTTCCATCTGGGTTTTTAAGGATCCTCTGGAAGCCCCTAATGAAAGCCTTTGCACAGCTGGAGTTCAGACAGAGGCTGGTGTGGTAGATGTGGCCTGGGTCCTGGAGAAAGGAATCCTTGTAGCTTCAGATTGCGGTATATATGTATATTTTGCCTACCAGTTAATAAATATATATAGAGTTAACAATACAGGAGGGCCCTGCTCGTGAGAGCTTACAATCTAGTTGTTCAAAGCTATAAATCTGTAATTCAACCCCCCTCATGAAACCTCTGTGATCATACCAAAGTTTTACATTTTTGTTAAATCAGATTACTTGAAGCACAACTGTGGGCTCCCAATAAGTGCAGCTTTTGAAACGCTTTAAAATCCGCCTGTACAGCCAACTGTGTTTAGGGAAGATGTCAATGACGTTTAGGCCTCATTCACACACAACAGCAAAATTGTATATTGCGTATATACGCGTACCTGCGCGTAAATACGAGCGTATATGTGCTTACATGCGTGCACTATATGCAATCCCGGAATGCATCATTCGTAATAGAAATTTTAATGAACTCAATGCACTTACCTGCATATACGCGTGCAAACACACGTATGCGCGTAAAATACGCTGCTCGGACGCATCTCGGGTCCATTCTGTTTTTGCGCATTTTTACACTACGCAAATATACGGCTCCATATGCAGCTATGTGCATGGAGCCATTTAGTTGCATATGGTACAATACGCGTATATGCGCGGCAGTGTGAATGAGGCCTTACCCTGCCCTTATGTGGGCCATCAGATGAGATGAGGTGAGCATAGATTCCATCACCCCAAACCTCCAGAGCAGAGGAATTTGCTACAAGTAGGATGCAAATCGCAACACCCAAGTCGATGGAAAAAAAAAACATCAAAGCTCTGTCTGGTGCTCAGAGATGATATAGAGAATTTAAAAATCTCAAATATAGTACTGCATCCATAAAAAAATGACCAGCCAAACTATTATGTAGGTTGAAGGGGGTGCTTTGAGTAATGAATATTTTGTATTGAATAAGACCTGAGGTGTTGTATTTTATCCTACAGTCCATAAATAATAAATAAGTGTACATGAATGAATTTGTTATTACATTGTTTGAAGTGCCTCTTTCCTAGTAATAATTACATTGTCATTTATGTTATTTTTGTTTTGGCAGGTGCAGTGGAGCTATGGGAGTTGCTGGATAATGAATCTCTGCTTGCTAATAAATTTACCAAATACGAGCATGATGATATTGTAACATCGCTGAGCGTGTTCACTGGCGGCTCTCAGTTGGTTAGTGGGAGCAAGGATTTCAGGTTTGCAGTAAACTATTTAAGTTCGAGTCCGTCAGTCAATCTAAAACTTTTTTCAGCTTCTGGTATCTCTTCTAGACTGTCGTGGTGAGATCTCTGTGCTTGACTTCACAGTCTTGCTCCTACTACAAGACCAATATCAGGGGTTCCCATTTTTTTTTTGTTGGATTCCTTTTTTATATTCTAGAAAATTCAACAGTAGGAGAGGGGACATTTTAAAATTCCAAAGTAGATGAGAACACAGCTGATTATGTCAGGATGAGATCTCCAATAGTGTCTCTAAGAGTTATAAGAAGCCACGGGGAGATGTGGCCTGCCAGATCTACTCATAGCTGATATTTTTGCATGGACTGCCCCTTTTTAGTATGTTTTTTTTTTTAAATACTTTCTGATGTCTGTTCTGTGTCATGTTTGTAATACCCACATTTGTATTTCAGTGTAAAGGTTTGGGATCTTGCTCAAAAAACTCCCATAAAGTCATATAGAGGTGAGTGTACAATTTGTCCAAGCACTGTATGATTTTAAGGAAAACTACTTTTTCTCTAGTCACCTTCCAGGACAGCATTAGAGAGATAGGCTCCTCCCACGGGAAACAGGAAACACATCACCCACACCTAGAATAAAAAGAGTACCAGCCTAGCACACTTCAGTTATTTTGTGTTTCCTCCGGCCGAGCAGGACATCGTAATGTTTGTTGTTTTCCTAGGCCTAGGTGCTGGTGAGCAGGGGCTTCCCCCCGACAGGGGTACAGCAAAGGGTCAGTGGACCTAGGGTATCCATGAAGGGGGGCTTCCGGGACAGCCCCAACTGTCTAAACTTGGTGCCATAGCTTCCCGGCATAAGTGTATGCAGGGCAGCTAGGCCATTGGTGTAGCTGGCTCAGGGGAGCTCTCCTACCACAGATACCCCTGCTTCAGCGGCGGTGGTTTGCGGCGATTCTCCTACCTTGATCCGGTGCAACAGGGGTCGGCCACTGGCATCCTTGGTGAGGCATCGGTTAGGTAACGGGCGCGATCCGTCGGGGCAGGCTGCCCGGCGCGTCCTCTCAGGCAGTAGTGCGGCCCTCGTGGTAGGGGGAAGGGATTCTCCGGCGGACGTGCGGGGGCGGAAGTGACGCGCGCAATCGGCGCGGGCGTCTGACGTCACTTCCGGGTGAGAGGGTCATAAGACCCGGCGTTCCCAAGCTGCAACAACCGCTCGGCCACGCTAACTTTCTCCCGCAGTGGCAATGTGAAGCTGATGGCAGAGACGAGAGCCGTCCACTCATCGCCACAGGTGTCTTTCAGACGTATCATGCGGCTACTGGGCCTCATGACAACAGCCATACCGGCAGTAACGTGGGCTCAGGTACATTCCAGACCCCTCCAGAATTTCCTTCTGGCAGAATGGGATGGTCAACAGACCTGTATTGAGAATACAAAGGGTAAACGGTCAAATATTTACTACTGTTTTTTTGGTCTTTGTGCAAAGACATGAGGACCCTTGCTATCAATGGTGTGAAAATGGCAATTTACAGAACTAGTTTGTAGGCTCTTGATGGCCTGGACTGCAAATTCTGCCACTTTTCTTTGGCAGGTCCCGGATAGGGGTTAGTGAAGGAGGTTGCAGAACAAGTGACCTGTAATCTGTGCCCTCTGCTACTCACTGCTCGCACACTGGGAGATGTGCAGTAGAGCTGGGGTGGTCACATGATCACTACATCCGTGGAAATTTGAAGGGACTTGCAGGGAACAAAAATAAAATGGCCGACCATTGACTAGAGGAAAGAAGGTATTTTGTTTTTTGTGGTTGGAAATCCACTTTAGTTACTTTCTCTATTCTAGCAACTGAGAGAACAGATGGGATTTCTGCTCTGAGCTCAGGCAGGAGGTAGATCAGCTTCCATTGGGTGCTTACAGGCTGACACTGGGATGATGTTTTTCTTTTGCTGTGACAGGGAAGTAATACAGTTAGAACTGAATTCCAGGCAAACTGCAATATACACAGATGAAATACATATATGAGAGCAGTTTAACTTGCCAAAGGCTTTGTGTGTGTTTGTGCAAATACATTTGACATTTGTTTTTACTTTTTTTTTTATTATTATTTTAGCACATTCCAGCTTTGTAAATTGTGTCTCTGCCTGCCCTGGAAAAGAGACAATATTTCTCTCCTGCAGTGAGGTAAGGGTTATCTTTCGTTATAGCTGCAAGCTACATCTATTATGAAACGTATGCACAAACTTTTTTCTTAAGTATTTTATTGCTCCACTTTGGCATTTGTGATAGTTCAACCCTGTTGATTTCTTTAAATGTGGTTTTATTTAGGCCTGTTTTACACCTGAACGTTTTGTAGCGCGTTCAACGCTCGACGAACGCTCTACAAAACGCTCAAACATCTAAATCCCATTGTATTCAATGGGTCTGGTTCACACCTTGCCGTATTTCCGCCCGTCCGAACGCGATACAAAGCGGCCTACGCCCAAAGAAGTACATGTACTTCTTTGGGGCGTTTTGGTCTCGCGTTTCCTTTGGGATACAGCCAAGTAGCCCTTGGAAACGGGCGTTTGTCGCGCTTTTTTTACCGCAAAACGCGGTAAAAACGCACGGCGCGACAAACACGCATATTCAATACGCCTAGGTGTGAACCCAGCCTCAAATGCAAAGGTATCCCATGAGACTGCACTGCTGACACATACTGACTATGGCTCAAAAAGCACTGACTGTGAAGTGCAATAAGCAATAGCAAGTAGTAGATGATGAGCACTGTGCCAGCTATAGAGCCCTTTTTGGCTGAGAGTGCTGGTCCTCCTTTCCTCCAGTTTGAGTACTGCTCAGGGGATTACAGGAGGCTGATATATATAGCGTTAGATTTATGTTCTTATGCCAGTTGTTTAAAATCAGATGATTGTGGCAAGAGGTACTTTATTTCAGCTTGATGCACAATAGAGAAGACATGGTTACACTGCTTTTAACAACATTAATTTCCTCTAAAAGTCTGAGATCCCACAGTAGCTTCCTGTAAAATGTCTTGCTTGGCTCCCAGCCCAATACTATTTGCTAATGTATTATTATAAAGGATCCAGTATCTACAAAAGTTCATCTATAGACCTACAGAAGTATCCAGCCAGACCTGAAACTGAATTTGTCTTGGCATCGTGGTTTATGTACACCTGTGGGAGTAAAACAAGTAGTGAATTACTAATTACAATGGTTAACAGGTTCACTAGCTCCACCTTGGTACAGCTCACACTCTGCTACTCTGTAATGCATAATACAGACTTCTTGGTTCTGCATTGGATGACAGACTTTTTTATTTTTCTCTTTTAGATCATTTCTAAGCCTTCCCCATTCTATCTGGCATATATTGTTGTCTGTATCTCTATTGGCGAGATTTCCTCTTTTCTCCTTTTTGGGAAAGTGGTCACCGAGTTAGAAGTAGAAACACATCAATAAAGCCCATTGTAGCAGAGTGTGAAATTAGGATGAAATCCATTTATTTTTTTTCCAGTACCATTATCCCCATCAAGATGAATTCCTCTTATTTCCTGTTCCGGAGACTATGGTTACTTGGGCCTGAATAGGGACATGGCAAAAAAAAACTGATCCTTATCATACCCAATTCCTATTAAACAATAAAAAAAATAATTTTAATGACAAATTTTGCACTTATGACCCTTCCATATGTTCATTAATTTTTGAATGGCCTTCATACCTACGGTTGTCTTTTATGCGTTTTACTAATGTCTTTTTCATTTTTGTTTCTATGTTCTTCAAGGATGGCAGGGTATTGTTGTGGGACACCAGAAACCCTAAGCCAGCAAAACGTATTAGTAAGTAGCATAGGTGGATGACCGATTCTCTTCCTTGTGAATTTACTGATGTAACTGTACATTTGTTTTCAGCTTATAAAACTAGCATGTTTTTGGCACAGAAGCATTAGTGGCAGAAGGTTTGGCAGAGAAATTTTAGGTACTAAGAGCATTTATTATGCCTTGCACATAAGAGAAATTAACTTATTGTAGCTTATTGAGTTTTCTTCATCATCCATTGAAGCACACAGGAACTGTAGATATACATAAACAATTTGGTATACAGGTAGTCTCCGGGTTACGAACAAGATCGGGACTGTAGGTTTGTTCTTGAGTTGAATTTGTATGGAAGGTGGAACGCCAGCTAAAAAATGTTTTTCGTTTTGGATAGCATGGGGGAGGATTAACCCCCTGTAACATATGTTTTGCTGCCCTCCCAGTGGTTCTAATCCCAGACCATACTAACCAAAACTACAAAAATAAAATTTGCATGGAGTTCTACTTGAGGTTACCTTGACATGTGTTTGTACAACTTCCTGTAATGTACAGTACCAGACCCAGAAGAAGCAGGTACTCCTCGTCTGTACATCTAACAACTTCCTGTTGTGTACAGGAGGTACAGTACTATAAACCAGACCCACTCCTCGTCTGCACATCCAATAATTTCCTGTAATGTACAGGAGGTACAGTACAACGAACATCGACACGAGCACGGTAGTATTACATCTAGTGGAAAAGCCTCGAACCTCCGTTTGTAAGTAAGAATCGTACGTTACTCGGATGTTCATAACCTGGGGACTGCCTGTACTGCTGTCTTCAAGAGGAAGGGACACTGACCCAAAAAAGTAAGCCAGCCCACTGTAAGACCCCACCTCCGACCACCATGCCTCTTTTTTTTTTTTTTTTTTTTTTTTTTTTGCTACTGTCCTAGGAGGTTGAACACTTTCTTCAGCTTTGCAGGGAAAAAACTTTTATGTAATATTTTTTTTTTTACCCTTTTATTAACATTTTCAATACTACTGTGTATGTATTTTTTCTTCAGTTGACACTCCTATAATGCTGCTTGAGCTTGTCTCTATACAACAGCTGCCTCTGTACTGTGATCCAGACATTTTAATGTATTGGTTTGTCAGCCGCAGAGCGCTTTACATTTCCAAAACCGTGGCATAGCCTTTGGTGTGATCCAGTCTCTGAATACTCACTTGTGAGTTTGCCTGTGCAAGTAGCGAAGATTCATGGTATGTAGACTATGGGCATTGTACTCTGCTTTGTTGTGCACTTCATACCCATGTGCTGTGTCTGTTCGCTGCAAAGTACCTTACTGTTTAAAAACAGTGACCCAGTCTCTGACCACTCATTTTGTGTTAAGTCTTAGTACACCATTCTCAAATACACTCCAGATTCAGAGCGACGACCCACCCTCTGCTGTGTACCATGCTCTGATGACTTGTTCTGTAACTAACATATGGGTTTGATGCAAACTTCATGTTCTGATGCCTTTGGGTACTGGACTCTGCATCACAGTCCCTTCTTCTAGGTTATGGGCTACCATTTCCATGGCTGCTCCTCCATAGCATAGCCCTTTATGGATTTAGTAACTGTACCCTCACTTCAAGTTATCTTCCTATGGGGCTTTATTATAAGTATTTTTTAGATGCTTCTAGCTGCATAGTGTGGTGATCCGTCCTCCTGTGTTCTTTTCATGTTTTGCACTATGGCACAGCTTAAACATCTGCTAGGGGCAGTTTTGCTCATGCACACCATGTTTTCTTTTTGGCCCTGGAGGAAATCTCGTCGCATTGCTCTCCTTGTACAGCATTGCTGTCTTTTCCAGTCTCTGGTCTTGCAACACTTGGCTGCCTTCAGTGGTTTAATCACAACAGCTTTGATTGCGGTACTGCTCTGACACCTTAGTGCCATATTTTGTATCTAGTCAACATGCTTTATTTTGTAGGGATGCACCGATACCGAGTATTTGGGCGAGAACTCGTACTCGCCCAAATGCTCCGATGCCTAGCACGAGTACTTCCAGTATCAGGAAGCCGGGCAGCGCGTCACTTGTCATGAGAGAGCATGGGCGCCGTGTAATGATGCAGCGCCCGGCATTCTGATTGGCCGGGAAGCTGGCTTCATGTTCCCTCGTCATCTCTTGACGAGGGAGCATGGAGCCGTCTGGCCGGCCAATTAGAAACCCGGGCGTTGTGTCATTACACGGCACCCGGCTTCCTGATATGCCAGACTGCTCCGGCTGGGTACCGGAGGAAGGCCGCGTTCTGGCTGGAGAGAGGCCTGGGGCGTGACAGGCTGGACATACCAAGGTAAGAGGGGACAGACTTTCTTGTTAATCGGGAAGCCGGGTGGCGAGTCTTTACACGCCACCTGGCTTCCTGAATGGGACTTCCGTTACTCGGTAATTGGTATCGGCGAGTACAGAAAAATAATTATCGGTACTGGGTACCAAAATACGGGTATCGGTGCATCCCTACTTTTTTGCTTTTTATATAGTACAATCCTTCATATAAGCAAAATGACAGCTAAGGAAATATCATTACTTTGTTTACCTGGTGCTTTATTGAGAACCTGGCAAATATTAAGAATTTATGGCTTGTGTAAAATATTTGTCATTGTGATTTTATGATTTGAGATATTGATTGTAATGTGTTTCTTGTCTGTAGATTTTTTTGCCTCACACAGTGTCCCCACGTATGTTGCATGGCATCCTCTTGAAGATGATACATTTGCTTTTTGTAAGTTATTTTTTTTTTTTTTTTTCCTTAAAGGAAACGCCGATTCCAAGTATAATGTGTGAGACATTTGTATATTTATTACCAAGGGTTATGTGCAGGTATAATAGTTCTATTTCTATCTATTCTATAGGAAAACATCAGTTTACTGAGTTAACTAGCAGGGTATTTATGGAACATTATTTTTTTTCACAGGTGATGAGACTGGTAATATTTACACTGTAAATTTGAAGAATCCTGATTCAGCCAAAGCAGTGGCCATACATTCCAGGCCAATTACAGGTCTTGCCTATTCGCATCACAGGTAAAACCCCTGGCTTTCTCCATTTCTATAATGCTCTGATGTTCAGTTTAGGATTTCATAACCTAACCTATACTTTTGGACTTTCTAAATGGGCTTTGAAGATATTTGCTTTATATTGAATTCCTCTAACACCATACATTAATTGTTGCATATGCTGTACAGCCATTGTCTGTGTATTCTTAGAACAAGCTACCTTGTACATTGTGCCAGTTGCAGTGAGAGTGAACATTTCTTAGCCCGTGACCACTAGTGACTGTCTAATGTTCTTGCTAAACATTTTTAAAATGTTTTTATCTGCTATTCCTTTGATAAGTTTGGTGGGAAACAAGGAGACTGCTTTAATTGTGCTTTTGGGCTTTGGAAAAAATCCTGCCAACCAGACTTCTTCCAATGATGACAGTTTATTGAACATAAAGTCCTCATAAAGGGGTTAAAGCCAAACTCCACTCACCATTAATAATCAGTATTGTGTAGAATCCAGTTTATGAAATCTAACTATTCCTCTTTTTCCTTGCTTCCTGAACAATGACTAGTATACAAGCTTATAACCTATAACCATTCTAATTGCAAAAAAATGGTTTATTGACAAACAATTTTTCATTCTAGCTCTCCATTTCTGGCTTCAATCAGTGAAGACTGCTCTGCTGTGGTCCTTGATGCTGAATCTTCAGTAATGTAAGTATATTTTCTATCAGTTGCTTTGCAAAGTGAAGATATTCTTATACTTTAAAGTATGTTGTTATATATTGGATATTATGTGGGGCTTTTATTAGATATTATGTGGGGCTTTTATTAGTCATTGCACTGCATTTGCCCGGCTTAACATACACAATAGCTGTACTATGGGGGATGCCTCCGAAAGTGGTTTAGTAATCTGTCTGTATCTATCTGTTTGCATTTACCTGGCCAAAGAGTAAAAAAACAAAGTAAAGTGAAAATGGCTAATAACTAGCAAGAGTGTTAGATGTGGAAGAAGCATTTTACTAGCAGATGCATGAAACCTAATTGTCCTGCTTGTCTGCAAAAGGAATGTAATAAAATTCTTAAGCCCTCAGGGGCAGGGCCCTCCTTACCATCTTGTCTCGATTTGTATTGTGATTGTAATGTCTTCCTTATATTGTAAAGCGCTGCACAAACTGTTGGCGCTATATAAATCCTGTATAATAATAATAATAATTCTTGACAATTTAATAAAAAGGTCTAGCAGGTAAAAAATAAAAACATCCTTAGGGAGCTTATTCCTCTAGCAGGCTTGTACACATAAGTATGAACTTTCCTCAAGCCTCTTTTGAACTCTAGACTACCCTGCCACTTTTAAAAAGGTAGGAAGCACAGACACGAAAATAATTCTGTTTGTCTGGCTTAGGGATCTATTTATGTGCATATTGGCAGCTCCCTAACCCGTTAAGCTCAAGAGACAAAAAAATATAAGTTATTTATGACACTTTGCCATTGGGAAATATAGAAGTGCACTGATATGCTTTAAATTGTCTTTGTTTTAAATATTAAAGTGTAGCACAGTAAAGCCTCCTTAAAACAGAAGGTAGTCACAAGTCTCATACCAACCCATATCCCAAAATAAGAGGAAGATTTCATTCGGAAAAAGTGGCGCAGCAGTGAATTGCACTTTGCCCATTGGCTCCACTGTATAAAAATTTGTACTCATTGCAACCATTACAATATGCTTGATAGCATCAACTAGCAAGCACCATATATAATGTATACAAGCTTTCTGAAATCTTCCAAAAAATGTGTGACAGTCTGGTTTCTTCTGTATTAATGCAGTTTTTATATATTATTTTTTTTTTTTTTTTTTTCCCTCCTTCACCGCTTCAACGATAAATCTCACTGTGATTTTGTAACAGGTGTAGCATGGTCACCAGTCAATCTTGATAGCTTCACAACCGTGGGATGGGACCACAAAGTTCTTCATCATAGCATCCAAAAGAACAACAATCCAGAGCCTCAGGCTGAGGCACAAACCTAATGTTTATGCCAGCAAAGTGTGCAGCTGTGTTACTGCTGAATATAAAGCTAGTACTGCATGCTTTCCTTGAGTATTTAGATTACAGACCTAGGTGTAGTGTACAGTGATCGCAGGTTTGTGTCAAACACTTTTTGCCATATTGGCAGACAACAGATCAAGATAATGAATCGCATGCCAACCATGTTTATGCTCATTGCAGTTAACCTGTTAAAGGAGCTTACTAATATTTTCAAAAAACTGCTCCCTGTTCCTTACATTTCTGATTAGTAATGTTTAGTGCCCAATCTATTCTTTGCAAGCCACGGCAGATTAGTCTTCATGTTGTTGGTGGACTAAAATTTATCTCCACAATGTGTCTTAACAAATCATGTTTGGAAAATTCACTTTGTAGGTTTAACCAACAGGTGCCACCGCAGGCAGAGTTGTGAGAGTCCAGAGAAGAAACCATTGGTTTAAAGGCACTATGTTGCGCTGGCATTTGGTTCAAAGAAATCTTGTAAATACCTCTAACAATTGCGTTTCTGTTTTGTTGCACTTACTTTGTATTTCCTCTTTATACTGTCAATTGTAAACATTTAATATTGTGTTATCGTGACACCATTTTTGATAGCGATATTAAAGGTCAGTACCACCTACAATGACATTTTGTTGTGGGCCAGAACACATTTGCCTTGAGAATCTTATTCTTATTCTTCCACTGTAATGAACATCCTCTTTACAACTGGCATACTGAAGACAAAGTTGAATAATTTGTGTAACTTAATGAGTGGTAGATTAGCAATCTGTAACCTTTTTAAAAGAGACGTAAAGCCAAACCTTTTTTTAGGGGCTGTACTTCTCTTTTGGGTCACAGGAGTACATTTACTAATGTACTCCTGAGAACCAAAGTCTGGATATAGTAGGCAATTGCCTATTATAAGCTGACAGCACAGAGCTGCACTGCAGCTGGGAAGGATCATTGCTGGTGATCCACTCCGCTGTCTGATGGACAGCTCACGCTGCCTCTCTGGAGCCAGAGCCAGCTGTGCTCACCTCTCCACTGTGTCCATTCAGTGAGCACTGGAGGAACAGAGAGAGGGGAGGATGAGTGGTGACTGCACTCTGCAGGGAGAAGACTGAGCTGAGCAATCAGCACTTAAACGATCACTCAGCTCTTGGTATAGAGCTGGCGTGTGACAGCTGCAGTGTTCTGCTCTCAATATTGGGAAGAGTATATTTTACTTTATCAATACTTCAGTTTATGGAAACCATTAAAGGAGAACTATGGGGTGAGTGCTTTTCCCCATAGTTTTCCTAAAGGTAACAGGAGGACACAAACTAGTGTCCTCCCGTCACCCAAAGCTCAGTATACTGCGAGCTACAGGCCGCAGCCGGGTACGGATCCCGACATTACTGTCGAGACCACCCAGCTGCGGGATTGACAGCTGGCTCTGCCTATCTGGAGGCAGAGCCAGCTGTGCTCACCCCCTCCCGTCCGTTCCGCCAGTCAGCGCTGGAGGATCAAATGGGGAGAGGGGGAGGAATTCCTGCAGGGAGCCATGAGTGACAGTCACGGCTCTCTGCAGGGATAGATCGAGAAGTGAGCGAGCGACGCTATGTGTTCGCTCACTTCCCGATCTATTGAGCCGGCCTGTGACAGTTTCATTGTCACAGGATGGCTAGAACTATGAGGCTGTAGCTCGCGGTATACTGAGACGCCAGAACGGGTCCCGACAATGCTGTCTGGATCCACCCAGCTGCGTGATAGGCAGAGCCAGCAGTCAATCTAGAGGCGGAGCCAGCTGTACCCACCCTCTCCCCCATCCGTTCCGCCAGTCAGCGCTGGAGGATCAAATGGGGAGAGGGGGAGGAATTCCTGCAGGGAGCCATGAGTGACAGTCACGGCTCTCTGCACGGATACATTGAGAAGTGAGTGAGCGCTGGTATGTGTTCGCTCACTTCCCAATCTACTGAGCCGACCTGTGACAGTTTCATTGTCACAGGTCGGCTCAGATTATGGGGCTGAGTGAAAATCACTCACCTCATAATTCTCCTTTTTTAATGAGTGTGCTAAATCCTATTGTAAAACATAACTAAGATTTTCTGTCTGTCCTGTGCAAGGTGAATACAACACCAAAGACGACAGGGGAAAACGTCAAATGAAAGCTGTTGGTGTGAAGTGATGGAAAGTGGGCCATTTAAATAACTTCTGTTTTGTTTACTTCAGTGTTGTAATTAACATATCACAGCATAATTAGTTTTCAACATCCCCCATATTCCATCAAAATGCTGTAACTGGAAATGTGACCTAAACTGTAAGCAACCTACAAGTTTACATAACCTGACATTATGCTAATTTCATGGATAGTTGTGACCTTAATGTCTTTCTCTTTTAACAGAAAACTATCATCCTACCCCACCACAAGAAAAAAAAAAATAGTGAGGAACCATGGTGAAACATTGCCATGTCATGAGTTAATGTTTTGAGAAAAGGGAAAAAAAATTTTAAGGCAAAGTGCCACTTTTGTATGGAAGACCAAAGCATATTCCTGCAGTGTGTGTAAAAATTCATGTGTGGCATTTTGCGCTGGCAGTGCCTTATGTGGAGGCAATAAAGTTGCACTTTGATGTAAATTTGCAAGCCATTTCAAGCTTTAGAGTGAAGTTGTTGTGTCTGAGCAGAGATGACAAGATGTCTGATTCTTTTTAAAAACTACTTTCACTTTAATACTAGAGGCCTGACTTAAGGCACAAGCCCCACCAAATCCTTTCACAGTGTAATTTGAATCAAGTTAGTTGCCCTGAAGTTATTTGCTGCCTCTGACCGCAAAGGCCACGAGCACGCTCCCTCACCTTTCTCTGCAAATTCTGTACCTGATCTGTTACACCGTGAAACTTAGTTGAGAATCACTAGTTTATTTTCCAGTAATTCGTTTTTTTATTTCACTATAGCAGGCTGAGTATGTTCTTACAGATCCAAGGTACACCTAATGAGCTCTTATTGCGATTCTGTTCCTTTAAATTATTTCAATTTGCCAGCAGCTTACTTTTTAGTTCTAATAATCTGTGTTAAAGAACAGTTTAATTCCAATATTCAGGTAGCATCCCATAAGTGTAAATCTGAATACACAATTGAAATACATGTATACATGTAAATGGTTTTAGGTCGGACCACAATAAAACCTTGTTACTGTTGGGACCCAAGAAGATAATTTTTACCAAAAAAAGCCATACAAGGACTAATAACAATGCGTGTCCAGTTTGTGTTTTAGTCATAAGGCTCATAAACCTTATGACTAAGCCCTGCAGTGCATAACGCTTTCTTACTGCTGTTATGAACTGATTTCAATGAGTATCCTGGGAGAGGAGCCATAGGCTCCTTCTCCCGTCAGTCAAAGTGTGAGTGGGAGCGTGGTTTGCCACAAGCTGTCTGTGGAATCACACAGATAGCTGCGGGAGCGCACATGCACTGGTATCTCCTCAGCAGCTGGCCAACTGAAAGAGACACCCATACACAGGGAGGGGGGCTAGCGGTTTGGGGACCACTGAACAGACTGAAGAGAGAAGCTGATTGGTTGCCATGGGCAACTGCTTGACATTGTGCATGCTCTATTTTCGATACATTCCCTTCTTTGTGTTGATAATCTTAGGGCAGTGATGGCGAACCTTGGCACTCCAGCTGTTTTGGAACTTCAAGTCCCATTAGGCATTGCAAGGCTCTGACAGCCACAGACATAACTCCCAGAGGCAGATGCATCTTGGGATTTGTAGTTTTGGCACAGCTGGAGTGCCAAGGTTCGCCATCACTGTCTTAGGGAATATAAATATGTATTTTTAATGCATGTCCAGGCACAAGAAAAACTCACCGGCCACTTTATTAGGTACATCTGTTCAATTGCTTGGTAACACAAATTGCTAATCAGCCAATCACATGGCAGCAACTCAGTGCATTTAGGCATCTAGATGTGGTGAAGACGACTTGCTGAAGTTCAAACCGATCATCAGAATGGGGAAGAAAGGGGATTTAATAGACCTTGAACGTGGCATTGTTGGTGCCAGACGGGCTGGTCTGAGTATTTAAAAAACGACTGCGATTTTCACACACAACCATCTCTGGGGTTTACAGAGAATGGTCTGAAAAAGAAAATATCCAGTGAGTGGCAGTTGTATGGAGGAAAATACCTTGTTGCTGTCAGGAGAATGGGCAGACTGGTTCAAGATAATAGAAAGGCAACAGTAACTCAAATAACCA